GACAATTTAATTTTTAGCCTCTTGAGAAGTCTGAGACAGCTCTTGCTCTGTGAAGGGCTGTAATTGTTTACCCACAGCAGGGCCCATCTCAAGTGTCTGCCTGTCCTGAGCTGCCTTTCTAAGTACTTTGCAGCGTACCTTTCCATCAGTTCTGGAAATTAAGGCAGTTGGGGCCCCCTCATTTTGTCTGATGTGAATAAACCCCAGGGACAAGCTCTTCTCTGCCCAACATCCTAATGTAGGGGTGCTCTGCTTCGACCCCGGGGCTATTAAGAGTGTTTGGCATACTCGTGCCTCTGCCCCTTCAGACATGCCACTCTGTGCTTTGTCGATTCCCAGAAGCCTCCTGGCAGCACGGTGCCGTGCGTCTGCGCGTGGGGGCGACCCACTTTTTGGGTTTAGCGACGGCTGGGGACTGACGACACTTCCTGTGCTGGTTTCATTGTTGGATGCGCAAAGCGGGGCCCTCGTTGGGGACGTTGGTTATGTAGGGCGTGGGCGGGGGCCCTGAGTGGATTAGGCTCTTCCTGTCCCCAACCTCCTACCTGCACTCAGAGGTGCCCCCTGCTCAGACCTAAGGGCACAGGTGGGCTGGCGCTTAGAGCATTCTCTTCCCGTATGCCTGGTCACAGGATCCTGGGACCCCCTTTACTGATGTGGCTCATTCGTTAGCAGTTGCCCAGGGGTGTTGGGCTAAGGGGATCACTGCGGTTCAGGACGGCCACCCAGGCAGCAGGGCAGCCCCAGCTGGGGGCGTCCGGGTCCCACGAGCTGCGTGCGCTCTGCATTCGCTTCTCTCTCCAAACTCTAGTCTTGTTCTCTGTAGCAGGAGGAAAATGTTTCCACTGGATACTGTCTACAGAGTAGTGAGAGGATTAAATAAATGCCAGGAAAGCCCCTGCCACATCGTAGGTGCTTAATCCATGACTGCCGCCACTCACATTTCTGTGACCTGTCCATGTCCCTGGAAATGAGCCCCCTTACTTCCTCCTCCATACCAGAGAGAAGGCATTACCACGCTCCTTTCTACAGCGAGAACTGCTATCACACTGGTTAAAAGCAGCTAAGAGCTTGATTTAGTCTCGGCACAAATCCCCGGTTTAGCACTTATTAGCTCTGTGACCTCCGGCAGGTTGCTTAACCTCTCTGTGCCTTAGTTTCCTGTTCATTAAGTGAGGTGTCTCCTTCTCAGGGTCGCTGTGAGGACTGAAGGGGATAATTTGCATGAAGGGCTAGAGCAGACCGTGGTTCTCCGTAAGTTCTGAGAACATGTTAGCCTTCGTCATCTGAGGCGTGTGTGTACATGTAGCGGCCCGGTACTCATAACTAGCGGGGAAAACTCAAGCTGAGAGGAATCAGCATATTCCCTGCATCCTGCAGCAGTGATTGGTTGGAATTCCCTGTTCTGGTCTCTCTCGGGTCCCATTCAGTAAGCACTAGCTGTTCACTGTCTGTCTACACTGGGCTCATACCCACAATTTTCAAACTTTTATTCGTAAGCCATGGAAACATTAAGCTAAGTGAAAACAATACCTGTGCATTTGGGTCCTTCACCTCCACCCTGGTTTGGAGATGGAACCACCGCCCACCTCCATGTCTCTGTGTCCGTCATCATCTTCACGGCTCCGGCAGCAGAGCAGGGCTAATGAAGGGCTTGGTCGGAACCGTGGGAGTGGAGTACGCGGAGATCTGATTCAGTCTGATTTGCAGAGTGCAAATGGGGCATTTATTCTCTCTTCATTCCTCTTTTGCCCCAGAAGGAAATGGTTTTCCTAATGTGTTGGCTTCCGGGGTTCATCTCTTAATTCCAACTTGAAGTTGAAAGGTATTTGTAACAAGAGGAGTAGATGATGAATGTGAATATGTCTCTGTCAGCGCTGCTGTTAGGACATGACAGCTGTGTTTCCAGGAAGAAGAAACAAGACCGGAGCCCAAATGCCGTAGGGATGTCACATGCAGACATCTCTTTGCAGCCACTTGGGTGGTGCTGTGACTCTGTCTGGTGGATGCATTCCCTCTCTGTGAAGCTCATCAGGTGGGGAGCCTAGTTTGTCCTGGATGCTTAGCATCGGCCTAAGAAGCAGTTAAATTAAGTGTGGTCTGGTTGGGCGGGTGTGGGGGGGATCCAGTTAGGTGCAGGAGAACCGAAGCAGGGAACAGTGCTAAGAGAGACCCCCTTGGCCATCAAGCTATGGGCCTGGAGCCACTGGGCAGCCCTGATGCCTTCTGCGGCTCCCACTCTGGGGCTTTGAGCAGTGAGTCTCCTGGGTGATGCCCCCATCTCCTGTTTAGTTGGTCCACTCCTGCTCAGCCTCTGGAGACTCTGTGGGAATGTCTTGCCAACTGGTACTTCCTCTGGGGTTTTATTTCTGTCTAACCACAGAGTATGTGATCTCGGATTGTCTGGTAAGGTTTTCTTCAGTTCTCTGTTTCTCATATTAAAGATTTGACTGTCGGTGGAGTCATTGCGGGGCTGTCAGCTTTCGGTGAGTTGCTTTCTTCTGTTTGGGGGCAATCGCCCAGTTTTGGTGTCTGAAGTAAGAGGAAGCAGGGAACTATGGGCTTCTCTGACTTCGATAGTAACCATGAACTTCAGTAAGCAGGGGCTTCGGTCATCTCTCTTTAAATCCCGAATGCTGAGGCAGAACTCTGACACAGGGCTTCTCGGCCACCAGCATCAGTATCATTAGAGATGCTTGTTACAAACGTAGATTTTCAGATCTGCCTAGTAAGCCTGTTCGAGGGAATTGGCATTGTCACAGTCCTGCAGCCATTCAGGTGTGAGAGCCGTGGCCACTTGTGGAGACTTTCACAGGCTTACTGGGGAACTCTTAACTCATGAATGAGTGTCGCCTTTTGGGTCATCCCTGGGCATGGTCTCTGCTTGCCTGCTTCAGTTCTGACTGTCATACAGCTTCCCTGTGCCACATCCCTCTGCATACCCTCCATGGGACATGACCTGCTTAGTTGATGTTTAAACAGCCAAGGCATTCAGGTCTAAGGCTGATAAGACGTTCTCATCAAGCTCGTTACTACCATTTGTGGTCGGAAAGAAACCCATGAGTGAGCAGATGGATTCTCATGCCTCATGAACTGTCTCTGAAGACAGCTCCCAAAAAGGGGTCCCCAAGGTGTTCTGAGCTCTGGCAGTCTGGTTGTAAGTATGTAGAACACCTTCAGTTATTTTGAAGGACCATGTTCATTTGAATGAATTTTGTCCTTGGAAAAGTATCTTCTCGCCGTGCTTTAGTCCTACTAAGAAGCCCCTCTCCAAAAAGTGACATCGTGTCAGAGCACAGGTGGAGGTTTCCTGTGTGAACAGTATTGATCAGTACTTAATCACAACTCCACCCCTCCCACCAACTGTGAGGCCAACTGTGGATTTGTGGGATATTTCAGGCCCTTCTGATATTGTTATCCTGAGATGTTATAATCATAAGGAAGTAGCGTAAATATCTTTTTCTTGGTTGTTGGAGTGTTGCAAACCACCTACTAATTAGAGATGCTGAATAAAGATCAGATGTGGGATACAGAAAACCTGGTTTCCAAAGACTGGCCTTGGTACTCACCGGCTGTGTGTCCTTGGGCACATCCTTGAGTCCCCAAGCCTGATAAAGAGTCACAGAGCCATTGTGAGGATTTAAGAGACTCTACTACCCGATGGTACCTAAGCACAGGTCCTGCCTCCTAGCAGGTTCTGTAATGACCGTTGCTTGCATCTGAATCCTGCCAGCTTGGTTCATTAAACGCCTAATGCATTTCTGTGTGCTTTGGGTCGGGGGAGGAAAGGGGATGGAGAACAGCGAGAAGAGAGACTTCATGAAAAAGGACTGACCTCTGCTTTGCCGAGGAAATGAATATTCAACAAAAGAACACCAAGAGGGAATGAATTGATTGACTCTAAGCGAGTCCCACATACTCCCGTGCTGCTGGAGAGCTGGGGATGGGAGGCCAAGGGTTCTTACACCTTCCTGCAGAGAGGGACGTGAGGGAGCTTACTGGCAAAGATGAGTCATCATAATTATAGACTTCTTTTTCGTTTTAAAAGCCACCATTTTAAGCGCAGCTCCCAGCAATTACAAATCAGTTATAACCCACAATCACACCTCCAGTTTTTTAAGTCTGCGGAGTCTCTAAGTATCGATGTAAATCCTTCGCCTTTTTTTTGAGGTCAGGAGTTCAGTAAGATCATTCAACTAGTGAGTCTAAATAAAGCTAACTGGAACTAATTATCAATCAGCCCTCTGATGGCAAGCTGCTGTCCTCATAAGGAATTATTTGTTATTTCTTCCAGGCAATTTCTTTCCTCACGCCCCTGGCTGTTATTTGTGTGGTGAAAATTATCCGGCGAACAGACAAGACTGAAATTAAGGAAGCCTTCTTAGGTAGAGTATCCTCAGTTCCTGTTTTAGGGGATGGGGCTAAACTGAATTTGATCACTCGATTTTAAAAAGTCTCATTTGCACCCAATTGATTTTTCTCTTGGTCAAATTAAACTTGGGAGATACAAGATGAGAGAAACTTTAAGCCTTAAGAAACGCCAGCGCACAGATAGAAGTGCCATTAGCTTCCGAGGCCGCCTGTGTCGCTGTCCTTGGTGCTGAATGTGACCGCGTGTCTCCATTCAGAGGTCTGTGCTGCTCAGGAGGTGAGGCACAGGGAACTTGAAGCTTTGTCACCACTCATTGATTGTCCAGTCTCACATTTGTGGCTAATAGACCCACATCACAGGCAATTGAGAAATCAACTCCTGGACCAATCACCCTTCTGGCTAGGGGCAGAACTGGGCAAAAGCTACTGCAAAATAAAATAGAAATTGGAAACAAGCTCCATAATTTATCTTCACTTTGGGGACATTTTGGCAGTTAAGCGAGTGTTATTGTATAATCTTTGCCACTGATTATAACACCATTGTTACAAGCCCTCCCCGAGCTAAGCCATATCTGCATGTGACACATGCTTGACATTTTTAGGATTAAATTCGTTTTTCTGATCTGCGTATTAATCAAACGCTGAGTAAATGACAGTATTAAGAGAAAGCCAAAACTACATGGCTTGTTTAACAATCAGAATAAACTTCCTAGTAGCTGGCTTTTCAGTTTTGCGATTATTAGGAAAACTGAATTATGTTTATTTTTTAATATCACACATACAAGTTACCCAAACCCTCACACAAACTGCATTGTTGGTATGTTATATGGACTTAACATTCAGTTAGGTAGTAAATCTGGAAATGTGCGATTCCCCACTTTTAAAGGGTATGTTTGTAAATTATTGGGCTTTGAGAAAATGAAAATGTAGCAAAATGTCATCTTCCTTTTTTTGGTGAGGGGAAATCTAGGGTACACAGCAGTTAAGAGGCTTTCTGTCTGAAGCAGGACAGGGACATTTCTTATATAACTCAGCTTTGGTTAGGTTCTGTCTAGTTGAAAAGAACAGAATCCCTCTCAAATGAGCTCAGACGAATTAGGGATTTAGTTACAGAGTTATACAAACGATCGATCTCACAGACATCCAAGAATCGGGGCAAGGACAGAGGAGCCTCTTGGGACTGGAGTTAGGGAGCTGGGACATCAGTGGTGGAGACACCCTCTTGGCTCATGACCGCTCCTTTCTGTCATGAGCCCGCCTTCTTCCCCCCGCACCCCCTGCCTTATTGTCCTGTCCAAATGTCATGTCTGCTCCCCGTACTTCTGTTCTGTGCGAGGCTTGGGCTGCCCCATGCCGGCATGACTGTCAGCTCCAGAGCCACGTCCAAGTTGCACTGCATCCTGTTGTACAGACTTCCCAGGCGGAGACTGCAGCTCATCTCATTTCTGAAGCCTGACCCCAAAAGTCTCTAAGATGCCCTCCCTCAAGTCGGGCATGTGCCCCAGGCTGCTCATCTGTGGTTGAGGGTTTGCTGGTCACGTGGTCTCAGTCTCTTCAGCGGAGGTGGTGGAAAGGCCAGTTTTTCCAAGAAGGGCATAGGTGCTCCTCCTACACATGGCTCGAGCAGTCGTGGTAGCGTCTGGACAGATACCACTGTGGTTCCCAAAATGTCCTGTTGGGAGCCCTCTCAGTGGACCTGGAAGTCTTTTTGCCTCACTCTTTATTCTAGTCTCTCCCTTGGCATGGAACCCCAAGGTACGGGGCTGTGAGAGAGAACAGTCTTTCAAGGTTATGGTTATAATTTACTGCCGGCTTTTGGAGTCAAGATGTTGTTCTGGCAGTAAGTAGCTCACAGTTACTTTTTCTAGACATTTTTTTATTCACAGCAAAATCTTCCTTCAGTGACATCTCGCAGTTGCACCCCATACCCTGCCTCCTGTACGTTAACAGAGAAGGAGCATTCCTGTCTGTTCTGTTTGTCTAAATAAATCAGAGCCTGCCCTGTAGAAAGGATGAAGAGCTTTATGTCGTACACATTTTTCTTTTTAAATCACTTGTTTTAGGAAGTCTTGAATATAGGGGGTGGAGGAATGATTTTTAAAAACTAAGGACAGAAAACTAGGTGTAGCTTTTCCAATGTTACCTGGAATTCAGGACTTTCTCAGTGAAGGTAGTTTAGTGCTTAGGTCCCTTCTTTACTCGGGCATCTTCCGCAGACCTGGGTCCCTTATCTGTATGTCCCCAGCGGCCACCTTTGTGAGAGGAGTGAAGCTCAGCTCTTGCAGCATCAGGGGTTCAGGCAGCAGAACAGCCAGGTCTGTAGAACGGGGAATGCCGTCACGCAAGGAAGGTGCTGTATGCCCAGCAACAACAAAAGTAACAACAGGAGCCCTCTAAGCCTCTGGGATGCTTATTGAGCAGTAGCGACCTCCGCACAGACCACCGACAGGCCAACTCATCTGACCCATGGCTTTGAATTTCTGGTTTGTCTTTCTAACTTCTCTCAAGCCTGCAGTGCTGTGAGATGCTGTTAGCACAGCCCTTGTGAACCCAGTGGGTTACTGTTAGCCAGAAGCACTCCTGGTTCATTAGGGTCATTCATTCCCTGCTCGGCCAGCCTTTCCTGCATCTGACCTCAGCCCAGCCTTCTCTCTGGTATCAGTGAGAGGTTCCTAAGGGGCCTCAGATGAAAATAACAATCAGTTCAGTGTATTTCCAGAATACTGTGATGGCTTCCACCCTAAATATCGTCACTCTGGATCCCCGCTCCTTTCTGTCCCCTTCAGATTTTTGGACCAGAGAGTAAAATTGCCAGCTGTTGGTGGATCCAACACATCCACACATTTTCTAGCTCAGCTACTGGAAGCGTTTCAAAGAACGGCTCTGTGCTACAGTAAGCCCAGCCGGTGCGGAGGCTGGGGACGTGTTTGGAGTTCGGGATCCGTACAGCGTCTGTGAAGTTTAGTGGTCTGTGAAGTTCCCCAAAGGCACTGGAAGATCAGCTAGTGCTGCTTGTTCGCAGAGACCTTTCTGTGCTAAGGCCATGTTGGGACCAGGATAAAAAGGAGTCTGGCCCCACCGAGAAACACAGCAGTGAGCCCGCTGGATCGGCCCTAACGGGAGCGACTCCGGTCATTTCGGGGCGATCTCACGGCCCGTTCGCTGTCACGGCTTTGGGAGAACACAACAGTGAAGAGAGCCCAGGAACTTTTTTCTCCTCTTTTTGAGGGAGACCTTTCAACAGTGCTCCGAGCACGTGAGAGAGAAGGGAAGCCAGCATCTTAGGAAGGAAGGGTCTGTGTGTGCAGATGTAATCAGAGGATTTCTCCGAGTCCCCCACTCTGGTCCCAGTTTTATACCCCAGGTGCTTGGTGTTTAGGTGGCAGTGCCGTGCTGCTAACTCGTGCTCTGCTCTCCACCCCAGTGGCCTGAGAGACGGCAGTGTTCTCCATCTCACGCTTCAGAGATTAATTTCCCTTTGACAAAGGTGTTTATTTGAACCGGTTCCTCCCATTCTCTCTGCTTCCCATGACTTGTTAAAAGCAGGTGGGTTTTTAACCCTCTCGGTGGCCCACGGCCTCTCCACGGCACTTTCCACTCATAGAACACACATTTGTCTCCTTCCATGACCATGAATTGCTCTGGGCAGCTCCTTCCTGAAAATGTCCTTCCACTGCTCTTTTCTTACATAAATCTCAGCTAGTACTCAATAGTTAGTATTCGCCAAAGGGAAGTGGTAGCTCATGTGCTTTATTATTCAACAAAGCGACGGGATGGGCGTCAGCAGGTTTTATCGTGGAGGCATGGCGTTCGACCTTCCGTCACACGGACTTGCCTTCTGTGCAGTCTTGATAAACACAGGAGAGAGATGCAAGGTCCTCGCAGAGACAGCGCTGTGACTCATGTCACTGGCACCCTTTGCATGATCTGTACTTCATCCGTCAGTTCTCTCAAGATGCTTGGAAAAAGTCCCCACGCCGTAGATTTTCAAATAACGTATTCCAGAAGGTCCTGCTGTTTTTAAGTGGCAAAAAGCACCACCTGCGCCAGCCTGCGCAAAGCCCAGCGAGGTGCTGGGACTTCCTCTTCTCAGAAACCGTGGTCTGCTTGATAACAGATGGACAGCTGTCGGCAGACGGGTCAACAAGGACATAATCGCCATGTGGGAATGTCCTACTCTGCAGAAGGATCCTAGCAGTGGCTCTGATGACAATTATGTCTGAGAAGGTTGCCGAAAGGAAATTTAAAAAGTTAATGTTTCTTGCTACCAGTAAAAGAAATTCTACATGCTATAGTATTAAATCTGTTCATATTATCTGGGACATGATAGATGGATTTCTCTACAATATTGACAATTTCAAAGAGGAGAGATAAATTTTATGTCATAGGGAATTGGAACTTTATGAGTTACTTTCCAAAGTCCTGCCCTAATTATATTTTTATTCTAGCCACCCACGATTCCCTCTGTTTTTTAAAGTTTTAGTTCCTATTTCTATGGTCATAAATGAAATAGAATTATGACGATAGTGATGGTAATTTTGATTTGAGAGCCAGCTGGTTATTTTTCTGTCTCTTGGTTTGTTTTGTAGCTGTGTCCTTGGCTCTTGCTTTGAATGGAGTCTGCACAAACACTATTAAGTTGATAGTGGGAAGGTAAGTTCCGAAAAGAAGCACGTGGTGACTCAGATGCTCAAGGTCGTCTGTGTAGGAACCTTGGCCACAGACACTGGATGGGACAGATTTGAGTTCTTCTGGTTTTCCCTTAAATTGTTGTCCTTCTGGGATTTCTGTCCTCAGCATAGATCCCTCTTCTCCTTTGAATTACGATCCCACTATTTCAGAAAATAAGAGGTCCATAGTAAAGAAGGACCCACTGACTATGCCTGCTTGCGGGCCAAGGTCCACTGCCGGCCTTTCCAGTCCATCTGCTGCTGTTCCAGGGCCTCATCAGACACCCACTCATTTGTCAGTTTTGGCCTCCAAAAAATAAATAAGATTATTTATTTGTTGCTCTCTTTGGGATAAGAAGTATGGATTGGCATTGGAGTGTTGGCTGATGGCACATTTCTCTTACCCTCCTGGGAAATGATTTCTGTTCTCCATTGACCTTGCCTTTGCCCCTGACTGCTCTGGAAGTCAGTCCCTGTAGAGTCCAGCAGTCAAAAGACCTGAATTCGAGACCTGACTTTGGCCCTGAGCAGCCGTTGGCCTTGAACAGGTTAGGTCCCCTCTCAGAACCTCAGCATTTACTGGTCGTCCACTTGGTGCAGGGCACCGGCCGGGCACCGCGGGGGCGGCAGATGGATCCAGACTGGGCAGTCTGTGCCCTGATGCTCTAGCGTTTCCCCAACATTGCATGTTTAGGGTTACCATGGGGCCCTAATAAAATGCTGATTCTCGGGCCTTTCTGCTCTGAGGGTTTGCTTCAGTAGGTAAATAAACCCTCTTAGAGAAGTCCTAGCTGAGTAGGTGAACACCAGCAGCTCTGATAGATTTTGAAATTATTAATTATTGATATGTTTTAGATATCGATAGATTATTGTTGGGCCTACATCCCAGAGCTGGGAGGGCCAGTGAGACAGTGCATGTGAAGCGTGACCAGTTTATGCAGAAAGCGGGCCCTGTGTTCCCAGCAGTAGCAAAGCCTCGCCCGTAGTGGGCGTTCAGTAGATATTAGTTGGATTGATGTGAGGCAGTCGGCCATCTCACACCTGTAGGAGAACCCTCACCTGAGTGAGGAAGAAAAGAACAGGGTGAAGTATGTAGGTGCAGGAATCCAAGTGCTGGGGTTCAGAGCTGGTCTCTGCCATTTACTGGTTGTATGTGACCTTGGGCAGGAGTGTCATCTTTCTGAGCCTTCATTTCTGCACCTGTAAAATGAAGAAAGTCCCAAGGTCTGCCTTGGGGTTGTCATAAGAATCTTATGACAGAACACGCGTGCAGTGCTCAGCACTGGGTCTGGTACCCAGTAAGGACTCAGTAAGGCTTAGCTGTGACTGTGACAGGAGGCTCAACCCCACTCCCCTGGAGAGGGCTGTCTCTCAGGACACCGGGCGACTTTGTGCTCTGTGTCATGGGGCAGGGCTTTTAGGTCCTCTCAGTGAGGACAGGAGGCTCAACCCCACTCCCCTGGAGAGGGCTCTCTCAGGACACCGGGCGACTTTGTGCTCTGCATCATGGGGCAGGGCTTTTAGGTCCTCTCAGTGAAGTTAACTGAGGCCTGCTGTCTGAGAAACAGCAGTTGGCCATTAAAATTCAAGATAAAGGGCCCTGAGCAGCCTGGAGTCTTGGGTCCTAGAAGCAGCTTCGGAAGGTCAGGGCTGCGGGTGGAGGCAGGAGCTACCTCTTCTTACTCGGCCAGCGCTGGGCTCAGGTGCCTCCTGTAAGTAGTTAACCCTCAGGACTTCACCTTGGGTAGGTAAGGACCTCCCCCTTCTATGGATGTGGAAACTGAGGCTGGGGGAGGCTCCACGACCTTCCCGAGGTCAAAAAACTAGTAAGTGGCAGAACTGGAGTTGCCAGTCAGATCTTTCTGACCCCGAAGTCTGAGCTTTTCCTCAGACCCCCCACGTCTAGGACGCTCCGTGCGGAGCTCGGTGGAGGTGGCAGAAGGAGGAGCTGGGGGAAGCAGGGAGCGGCGGGGGTCAGCTCGGGGTCCGTTTGTGATGGCAGCGTTTTATATTGAAAATGTCCATGGTGTCTTTTGTAGACCTCGCCCCGATTTCTTTTACCGCTGCTTTCCAGATGGAGTGATGAACTCGGAAATGCACTGCACAGGTGACCCCGATCTGGTGTCCGAGGGCCGCAAAAGCTTCCCCAGCATCCACTCCTCCTGTAAGTTCTCTGACAGGGACATCTTTCCTGGCCACTTTCTGTGGGAGTTTAGGTGGCGGGGAAAGTGTTGGGGTGTGGATGTTGAGCATGGTTCATTTTTCTTCCCTGTAGGGTGTTTGGCTTAGAAACAAGATCTTCAACTGCAGGTGATAAGCCTGTGAACGAGGCCCTGGGGTGTACAGAACGTTAGATGTGTTGCTTTGGTGAGCTCAGCAGGGTGTGACAGGTGACACTTTACCCTATGGCCATGCAGTTCAGGGACTGGACTGTATGCAGGGGAATTTCCCATGCCCCCCTGGGACCTTCTGCTTTTCAGCCCAGTGTTTGCTCTAGTTGATTTCTTCAATGAGGTATAGTGTGTGTGTGTTCACATATATAGTGTATATATACCGATTTGTGTGTGTGTGTATGTACACGCATGTACATATGTATATATACATATACACACCCACATATACACTCTGTATATAATCCGATTATAGATATTTGAGCTGGCACAAGCCTCAAGGCAAAGACTAAATAATATAAATCAGGTGCAGTGTGATGTAGTGGAAAGAACATGGTCTTTGAAGTATGACCAGTCCCGCCTCTGCCAGGTATTACCTCTGTGACTTACCTTCTCTGTGCCTCAGCCCCTGCTGTGTAAAATGGGAATGACGACACCTTCCTTATTGGCTGGGGAGAGGGTTAGAATAAGTGATGACGATCACTGACATTTCTGGAGTGTCTACAATGCCAGAATGTTTAGGTGCATTATCTTACTTAATCCACTCGCTGTATGTAAAGTACTTAGCATAGCGCTTTAAGTAAACAGTAGTTATCCAGGTTATTGTTTATTGGCAGAGCCGAGGTTTCCAGCGTATCTTGGCTCCTGTCTTCATCCATTCCATCAGTGTTTATTGATCAAATTCAAAAAAAGTATTCACAGTCCACGTTCATTTAAATAAATAACTCGTTTCATCCTCTCGTTTCTTGGAGAGCTCAGTAGGTCGAATGGCGGCACCCCAAGAGATATGTCCAGGTCCTAGCCCACACAACCTGTGAACATGACCTCACTTGGAAAAAGGGTCTTTGCAGATGTAACTCAGCTAAGGATCTCAAGATGAGATCATCCTAGATTTAGAGTGGGCCCTAAATCCAATGGCAGGTGTCCTTGTAAGAGAAAGGCAGAGGGATATTTGAGACAAAGAGGAGAACGCTGCACGAAGTTGGAGGCGGAGATTGAAGTGATGCAGCTACTAGTCGAGAAGCACCTGTCACCAGGAGCTAGAAGAGGCCAGGAAGCAGCAAGAACCTTCAGAGGGAGCGTGGTCCCGCCGACACCTTGATTTTGGACTTCTGGCCTCTAGAACTGTGAGAGCACTAATTTAGATTGAACACCAACCAGTTAGTAGAAAGGGTCCGGCTTTAGAGTCACCGGAGAGAGTGAGAGAAAGCATGTCACTCTGTGCGTGGTTCTTTAAAATGCCCTCTGAGGTTACTGTGGCAAGAGGCGGAGGCCATGCATGAGGTTCAGGTTCTTCTGAGCTTCGGATATAGCTGTTACTTAAGGCAGACCATGAACTTGGAATTGCTTCATCTTCTTTTTTCCTCTCCGAAGTCACATTTTAAATGAGTTATCTGTTTGGGGGGAGTCGTAGGTGCCAGCTGGAGAAATGTCTGCTGTATTGAGTCCTGTCTTCTTATCGTCTGGGCTTCTGATGCTGAAATTGTTTAGAGGTACCTGGGATGGGATTCACCTGGGCTTGCCTCCCACCTGCTCTCCATCTCTATCTTTGTGGGGTCACTTAGGGTCTACATGTTCTATTCTCCTGAAGACTTGGTACTGAGCTTTAAGGGGCTTCAAAAATTTAAAGTTGTAAGAAGTGAAACTGTATGGCAAAACCTTAATCCTGGCTTTCGAACGGTTGACTGTTGCATTGCGACTTGGGAAGGAAATAGCTTTCATGTGAATAACTCGAGCTAGACGACTGCTGGACCACAGAGGTTTCGATGTACACTCTCTGTATCAGATGCTATTTCTGACAGGGCTGCCTGCCAAGCTCGCCGCCTTGTCAGTGCCTGGCTGATGTCTCATCCATGCTAGACAAGCTTTTTCGACAGAGATGTTACTCTGTCTTTTGCTTAAGATGCTACTTAAAATGTTATAAATTGTTACTACTTGGCAGACACAGCATCCTACCCAGCCTCTGGCCTTTGATAGTGGTCTTTTCATCTGCTCTTCCTCTTTTATGACAGGTCAGTGATTGCCTTGCAGGGAGCTGCCATATCCACTTAGAAAAACCACCAGTGCTGTTTTCTGGATTCCTGTTGAGCAAATAAGCCTAGTGGTGGAGTGACTCTTTGTTCCTCAGAGCGGGTGGCGGACCTCA